CATGACTCCGAAGGAGGAGAAAGCCCGTGCGGAAGCCGAGGCCCGAGATAGATATCGTGCGTCCTACGTGTTTCTCGAGCCGCATGACCGATTCCCTGAGAACAAGATCATGATCGAACCCAACCTTTGCAAGACATGCGTGTACGCTGATGGTCACGAAGTGGCACTGTTGGACGAGATCACTGGCGAGCACTTGAAGGCCACCCCAGAGGAGCTGGAGCGGGCCGGAATCATTGTGCCCCAGGGAACTGGTGAGCCGACAGTTGACATTGCCTCGTCACCTGAAATGGACTCAAGCGTCAACGACCCTGTGGAGGATGACTTCGTTCCGGACTATGACCCTGATGACGAACCTCATCCAACTCAGAAGACAACGCTTCTTGCTGAGCCAATTGATTCATGCCCTGACGAGAAGCTCATGAGCGTGAACGCTGGCAAGAAGGGCGCTTGGGGTCACATATCAAGCGTAGAGATTGAAGAGTCAGACCTTCGTGTCAGATCAGACATCGACCAACCTCCCGAGACTGTCGATGAGATCATTGAGATCGTGGGCGACCACTACAAGGCTGCTCTCGCCGAAGGTTTCCAAGACCCGCAGGAAGATGCTCTTGAATCCGATGATGAAGAGATTGTTTTCAATCAGCAAATCGTCGGAGGTTCAAGCGCGCTGGAAAGCGTTGCCGATAAAATGAAGTTCAACAAGATCTATGCAGCCCAATACCTCGAAGGGGGCGCATTGCATCTTTCAAGGAACCCGCATGGAGCAATCTCCATGTCGAGCAACGCCCTGCGCCATTACACCGAGGCGGTCACAGGCAGAAGTATCCCTCTGCACTTCATCGACGATGACGGAGACGATGATGAACTCCCGCCACCGCCGCCTCCGGCGGAACCTTGCCCGTACAAACGAGACAAGGACGGAGTTCACCGTCCGGTTGCAGAGGAACTGCCTGCCCTCAAGAGAAAGACTGCCGCTGATCTCGGTGCGGCTCCTAAGGCGAAGGCAGCGCCAGACAGCCTCAAGAAGCTACGAACTGGTGACAAGGTCGTGAATGTCGACATGTCCAGCTCAGCGGAAGCCGGAGCCCAGAAGGGCTCATCAGAGGTGGTCGACGTTGAAATGGAAGAAACGGCAGGGGCATCATCATCTTCTGCCAATCCTCCCAAGGCGAAAAACATGCCAAAGCCATCATCCGTGCCCAAAGCCGCAGCATCGAGTTCTGCGGCCCCCGGAAGGGATGCGCCCAAATTGGTTCCAGCAGGAGGAACTCCGATCCGCACGACAATGCCGGCAAACCAAGTGCCCGGTGCCGCGGTGATCGGATGGTATGACCAGGAGCAGTTCTTTGTTTCAAAGCGTGTCTCCGGCCTGCTGCGAGGGCATAACCATGCCAATCGACGTGATCGCATTCCGCTTCCGGAATTCCAAGATGGAGCATGGATGGATTTTGCATCGGTGTTCTCATTCATCAAGAGGAGGTACTCTCGCTCCCTCACTGTGTCGGACTTGATTGACATCGTGACGTCAAACCATAGGTTTATGCTCGATGTGCAGCTTGCCCGCGAGGGGGAACTCTTCGCTGATAAGTATCTCTTCCTGCCGGTGCGAATCAAGGCAATCCAATCCCACAATGACTGGGTCCTGGAGAACATCAACATGGCATGGCCTGAGGTCGACAGAATCATCTGTCTTGACCCGTCGTTCACGGTCGAACGTCTGCTGCGAAGGGAGCATCCTACGCTTCCAGTACGACTTGACTTGCACCTCAAGGACATTCACCCCAAGATCTTGTACCACTACACTCACATCGCCTTCTTGGATGATGTGATCCGATGTGGCATTTGTCCGGGGGGGACTCAGGACTAGCAAGGCTCATTCGTACTTCTCGGCTTTCGATCCGTGGAGCATTCAGAAGACGAGTCAAGCAGGTATGGCCTCGACCAGACCAGTTGCGATTGCAGTTGATGTTGAGATGGCGGTGGCATATGGAATCAGATTCGCCGTCACTCAAAGCCAGGCCGTTGTGACCACCGATTGGGTTCCGAACCAATTCCTCATCTATGCGTATGATGTGTCAGCGAAGTGCTTCATCTATGCGAACCACGATTATGCCAAGGAGAGAGCCTCGTTCAATCAGGACGTCCGAGACATTGTCGTGCGTCGCCGGGAACGGCTTGACCGTGGTGATGAAGCAGACGACAACGCAAGAAGGCAGTCATTGCTGGCAAGGTCAAGGTGGGACCTGTTCGGAAAATATGAGAAATGGGTGCATGGAGCCTGGGTGGAAAATGCCTTCATCCTCGAAAGATACAACCGTGAATTCTGCAAGGATCAGCTCGAGCATGCAGATGCCAATATCGGAACGTATTCAACTCCGTACATGGCGATTGCATGGCAGCCGGAAGGCGATGCCCCCAACAACTCGGCATGGCCTCTCTCGCTGGGATCAGTTGATTGGGCGCATTGGACCCCTGAGATGGAGATGCGCTATGATCCTCGGGGAAACGAAAAGTTCTTCACGATGGATCACCGTTCGACAGCACGATGTCGAACCACAGCACTGCATGGACTGCGATTCCGACTCCCCATTCGGATGTTTGTCGTGCTTGAACTGTGGACGACTTGCTCGTGTGGCAACGGATATGAGGAAGGCATCGCTGCTTGTCCGTCTCGAAAACTTGGCCGCCAGCTTCGGTTTCGACTTGTCATTAGACATGTTCCCGGATGACGATATTCGTGCCCGGGGGGGACCGTGGGCTAAGGAATCCTGCCGGTGGTAGAGTCAGGACTGGACAATCTGCCATTGCGACGATCCGAGCACACGCCAAGTCGCACATGGACAAAGCGTCCAAATTGGAATTTGGCTCGCTCACAGAGCGGTTGTGCTTAGACCCATTCTACGCGTTCAACTGCGCGGCGCAGGACATGTCCCCTGACTGTTTGAAGTTTTTGCAACGACTCAGCTCAGCGGTATTGCCCATTCCGACGCGCACCGCCCAACAAATTCAAGAAGGGGTAGGCGTCAATGTGAAAGCGAAGATCTTGATGATTCCAGACACATCTCAGCGAGAAGTCGATGTGTCGAACGAGGTCTTTGTCTTCTGGAAGAACAAGATCCTACGCCCTGGTGTCTTTGTCGGACTGTACGCAATGGAGCACCACCGCTTTGAGGTACTGGGGTTCTCTGGTTCATTCCTCTCGGAAGAGAAGGACGTTGAGAAGCTGAAAACGGAGTTTGTTGGATGGCTGTCCTCCGACCTCCAAAGCATTCCGTCCTATGAGAACCTGGTGCGAGCAGACCCAAGGAACATCCATGTTCCGGAAAGAGAGGGTGTCGATCGAGTGAAAGGGAAAGGCAAGGGCACATGGCGTCACGGAGGCCGTCAAACCCGTGAGCATGCACCTTACCCAAGGAATCGGTGGGCCCGCGACTGGAGGGACCTCGATGATGACGTTGGTACCATCCCAGGTTGGCACTATGCAGATTGGACCTGGTACCAAGACAACTATGGAGCGGACTGGTGGGGTCGCGGCCGATAAACCCCACCTGTGCACGGCGGGAGCCGATGCCTTTTGACAGTTGTGCAGTCCTTTTCATCTAGTGCTTGTGGTAGCGCATTGTCTTTCTAGGTTTCGAAATGCTCTCAAAAGCCTTTGCACGCTCTGCGGAAGCAGTAGCCTCACGTTCAACTCCTTTGAGGCTGTCCGCATTCTTTGCAAGGCTTTAATTTGTTTTGCCGAAGTGCACTCTTCCTAAAAGGAAGCATCTCTCAGCATGCCGCGTGGAAACGTGTGCCTACGTAAAAGGCCCATTTCCAATTTGACGAGCTGTGGATGCATGTGAAAAGCGCTGCGTCCAATCTTCGATCGTCCGTTCGGCAGTTGACTTCATAACTTAATCGAATAAATCGTCGTTCCCTTGCGCCTCAGGTCGGCAAAGAATCTATGAAAGCTATAGGCGCGTACGGTGTTAACCACGAGGGAAACACCGGGGAACCGGAGGTCAGAAAGGTATGCACGTTGTCCCGTGTACATAGTCGTGTATAGAGTTCTTCACTACCTTTGCTGCCAAGTGCGTTCAGCGGGGGGTGTATTTGCACGATTGTACACCTGTACATACCATATTGACCTCTATGTTTGGCTCAAGAAAAGGGCGCTCTACATGTTGGTACTTGTAGGCTGTTGGCCTGTAAATTCAGTTTTGTCATGTGGGTGCGTTGCAAAGCTATATGTTGCTTGGGAAGCGGACGATATTCTGTTTGTTGTATCTTTTGTCATGTTGGCTGCCTAGTGAAAAGTGAATTTCTGGATATTTCTGGGTTTGATTGTGGTGAGATAGCAACTCCCACACCAGCTCCTACCAATTTTTCCCTACCAAAGCGATACAAAGTTGTAGGCTCCAAGTCGTGTGACAACAAGTGATCCACACGGGTGGACTGGAAGTTGGCTCTTGAAGAGACGGTGTTGGAAGGGAACCATCACAACATAGACCCGGCCCCCCCCCCCCCCACAGATCTGCGAATCGCACGATTCGATGGAAAAAAACAGGGCCACACTCGTGAACTGCCACATTGTCCTGGTTGAACGTTCCCATGGAGACCATTCCTGCTATAGGATCTTCCCCTGCATTCAGAACCTGACACCAGTGGTGTCGGATGTGGACATCGGCGAATTGGGTGAGAACCGACGCCAGTGGTAGGTCCTATTCCTTTTGAGAGATTCACCTGATGGCACCAGACCCTACACAAGCTGCGAAGCCTCGGAGGTAGCACGAGGTCTTTGGTGCCTGAAGTTTCGGAACTTCTGTCGGGACGGTGTTTGATTTTGAGTTCGATGTTCGATTGTTCTGGCAGGACACTTGTATTAACAATCGGCATGTGTGGCTGTACTTGAGACCTAGGCTAAAAGCAAAACCGAGCCCACTCCAACACATGCAAAGAAGTATGCATGAGACCTCATGTTTGTTTGCACATCATATGGCGCATGATCGCAATGGCAGGGACTGGTGCGCTGATTCGTGCCTTGCAAGAGCAACTGCCAACAGAGAAAATCCTTCTCGGACGCGAGGTGCTGAAGATCGAAGAGAAGGTCCAACGAGGGTCACACTGAGAAATGCAATCTGCATGTGGTTTGCTTTAACATGAAGCAACAACTTAGTCAGATTGAAGCAACAACCGGGTGACACCGGGGGATGTTGCCAAGTTCACATGGAAGAGTTCTATTTATTGGCGAAAAGCAGTCCAAATGACACAGATTTTGCTGCTGTTTGAGTTTGGCTTACATGTACAATGTACTCCAAAAACAAAGGACACAAGAACTATGGCAATCAACACAACATGAGCATGTTTGCTTTGATAGAACCTACGCAGTCATCTTGCACTGGGCCTGGCTCATTACTTTCTCTAGTACAGTTTTCCGTTTTGGTGTCTAAATGATTCTAAATGTTCTTAAGAGCGACAATAATAAGCCAAACGAGACAAAACAACTTACTGTAACCGTTGAACTCTAGTTCCAACTCACCCATTTATCCTATTTACCCAATACCTGAAGTGACACGGTTGCTTTTTTTTTTTTGCGTTTTTGTCGCCTGGTGAGATAGTTGTCACAATTTGGTGTGCAGATGAACAGTGGATGCATATGATTTGACCAGATAAGTGCTTGATAAATAAAGCAAAGAGCCACACAATCACATAGCTTAGCGCATGCAAACTACGTGCAACATGCGCACACTGGGGGCACCCGTTCTGAAAGTTTTCAAGTGATGCAACACTATTTTTCCCCAGATGTGCATGACTTGCCGTCAGATTTGTTGCGATTTGGCACGCTGCAATCAGCGGGACCAGCGATTTGCCTCAGGATGGAGGAGTGGAAGTAAGTGCAGCTGTCGCTGGCGAGGAGCTGCGGTTTCACGTCCTGCTGCGGCTGGGGGGGTTCATCGGATGTTTCTGTCATAAAGCGGCTGGGTTATAACATGTGTGGGTACATCATGGCACATCCAGCCTAAGCGTATTGACACAAAGTGATGGAGTGCCATGTTGCGTAAGGTGCCAGTTGTTCATAATGGTTGAAGAGTTCGAGACATGACACTGACCATGTTAACAGATCATATCAGATTAACATCCCACAAATGAACTTGGATTCCCCCCTGCTGACGGTCAAACAGGGAAGCCTCGCATGCCCTCCCATATGTTCACATGAGGTGTTCACCGATTTGCCCAGGGATGGTGGACTTAGTCCCACTTCAGCATAACACCCAACACGTGACACCACACCTGCTGGTGGTTCTGTGGCATGGACCATGGACCATCGGCCAGATTCACAGGTGATCGGTGAAACCAACACACACACACACATGTGTCGCATGCCCAGTCGGCAACGGCGTCCCTAGGACCAATCGACGAGGCTCTATGCCAAACGCGTCCTGGTGACCCTGCCTCCACGGCTGGCAGCACGTGTGCACTATTCGCCTCAGTTGCCCAGCAGTGTCCTCGAGGCACCGTGCAAAAGGCGGCGTTGCGGCGCGGCACCTCTTTCGACTGCGTGGTGTTTGGGCCAAGATGCCATCATAGCCGCTACAGCCAAACTCAGTCTTGCTTGTAGGTAGAAACAGGAAGCCTGATAGGTTCCCATCCTACCATCATGGAAGCGGACAACAAAAAAGGAACACACCTCTCTTCAGCAGGCCGAGGTCTCACCCATCCTCCTTCGTTTTCCCTGCCAGGTCATGCACCGGACGCCGACCTGGATGGGAAATGCCATGAAGGCCTGCCGGAAGGAACGGGGCGCTTCCGGGCGAGTCGGAGGGTGGAACACCGGACTGAGTCCGAGCGTAGTGAAGGCGAAAACGGACGTGGAAAAGGGTCCCTTAAAGGAAGTATGGACATGTATCATGAATGTACTTTCAATTTCTATGAACACAGCTGATGAACTTCACTTTCCCATGTGCTTCTCGTGCGTTCATGTCTCCACCACAGGTTGGAGAACGGGCGCCCGATTGGCTGTGGACCGACTCGACCGAGTTGCTCAGGTGGTGGTGGGCTATGATCTGCCCCCCAGCAGCGTCCCTTGGTGTCGTTGGTCGACTGGAACGACGGACTGGCCGACGTGGTGAGCATGGCGCAAAACCAACGCGTGCGCCGACTTTGCAACTGGAGCAAGGTTCACATGGGGACGAAAGATATGTGAAGCTCAGTTTGTGTGGTAATAAAGGAGGGTGGCGGTTTGGTCAACGAGCCAACTCAACATGATGGAGTCACCTTCAACCAGATACTTATACGATTGATATCCCATTCTGTGGCGGTTTTGGATCCTTTTTGATGTCCTCCAATTCTCGGATTCTCTTGAAATTTTGAAACTGCATTGAAAACATTTGAAAACTGTTGAAAACGTCCTTCTGTTTCCCACTGGACCAAGGTCCCATTCTGGCGCCAGAAGCAACTGGCTGGCTACGCCATCAGTGAACGAGGGCCATGTAGCTCGCCTGCCAAAGTGGCCAATCAATGGCTCTTTTGCGGGTATCGTTTGATACATCGCAATCATCGTTAGTAACTGGTACATCCCAACAATGGTGTGGCAATGTGACAGTGCCCTGCTGGCATCTCAACACCATTAGACTCAGACTGCGGTCTTTGTCATAGATACTGACATAGCGGGTTCATCTTGAAATACTTAAGTTATTGGAGGGAACACATTCAACAATAGTAAGCTCATTCATGACAGGTAGACTGGGTGGGTCTACAGATTATCATTTGAGTGATTCCTAGCAGCGGGCCGACTAGGATACCTTCATTCCCTGGTAGAATAGGAAGAAAGGCAGGCGGGCAGGAAGGAAGGAACAAAGGAAACTGATGGTATATTTCAGAGTAAAGGAGCGTGCTTTCTGTTCCTTTTCTTTCATGGTTTGTGCTTTCTTGGAGGGAGGCGCTGCGCCGCTGCAAACCTCCCCCCAACTCCCCCCCCAAAATGCACGCAAGTTGCAACCCTTCCTGATGTTCCTCCCCTTCCATGTTCATTCGAGGAAGCCTTGCAAGTCCCGCACACATTATCAGAAATCCTGGCCCAAGAAGAAGAACACAACACCTGTAAAAAGCAAGACCAATCCCAAATCAAATCCAGGCCCATCAAGCAAAACACATGTTTCCTTTTCACCTGTGCTTTCCAGAGGTCAGGTTGAGACACCTTCACAGGTTCGTGGGTCCCCGCCCACCTTCGGTTCCAGCATGTTCCAGCTTGGTCCTGTCATACCTCCGCCCCCAAGCGGCGCCACAACGTCCCAAGTCTGTCATCTCGAGGCCAGCAGATCCACGATCATTGCAGTGGTGAAGGTGCGACAGGAACGGTGACGAGCGCTTGGGAAGGACTCGGTCAGACTCGGGTGACCCAAGAGCGGAGGGAGACGAGCGCAAGCCAGAGCTCCAGGTGTCGTTGATTTGGTGGATTTGGCCCCCCGAGAGACCAGCGCTCCAGACATGGCTGTATGTCAGCAAGTTAAAGTTTTCCAGGTCAAAAGAGCAAGATCCTCCTGGGTGTCAAGATGGCCAGGCAGCCAAGAAGATGAACCCCCAGGTTCGACACATACACACACACAGCACACGCACACACACACACACTGATACAGTGAGGGTCCCGAATCAATGATCGCAAGCAAGGGCTGCAGCTGGATTTTGGAAGACAGTATTCTTCTATAGTTATTCTTCTATTCTTCTATCGGAAACCTTAAAGCAATGCTTTACCATCATGTGAGCACTTAGAAAATATAAATCAGTTCACGAACTAACTCCTCCCCACAGATTCGGATGTGGGGCTTGTCTTCAGGTGTGTCGATGAGGAGACATGCGCTCTTCGGTTGGGTGGATGAAGATGACCCGGTGAAGAGCTTATCCAAGGCGGGGGACCCTCAGAATGGAGGTCGTGAGGCAGATCGTAGACCTGAAACAAACAGAATTGGTGTGATCTTCTGCCAGACTGTGATGTGCACTTGGATGATGTTGGAGGTAGGGCAAACGAAGGATCGGATGTGTTGGGATGTACATCAATTGTAAAACAAAACGGTATTCTAAAAAAGGCACAAATGAGAATACCCTCAATCCTTGGGTGTACGCCTCGCGGGGAAAGTAGCTGCATGAGATGATCTAAACCGTAAGGAACCAGTGATCCAATGATTCCCTCCGTCGACCATCCGAACACACAGTGCATCTCGGCCCCCAGGTCCTTCCGCGAAACTCTCGTCATGTGGACGACTGCCATGTAGAAGATCTCGACTTGACCGCACAGAAGAAGCAAAGTCCATGTGATTCCATGTGCATGTTGACTGTTTAATTGCATGTTTGACAAAAAGCAACCATCAGCCTGAGGCAACCCCCTCAGGTCTATCCATCCAAAAGCTTTGTTATATGAAAACAGATGACAAGTTCCAACAAGCGTCCCCGTGTTTCGGGGGGGACCCGAAACCATGTAATAAGTGTTATGTAATGTGTTTGCTTCGTGCGTCTCGCTTGGTTTCAACCCCTACCCTTTAACTCCCAATTCCTCCAACCTGTCGCCCAGGAGGAGCGCCGCCTTCGCGTCTTGGAGCAGTTGGCCCAGCTCTTCGGGGAGGCCGACGATCCGAACCGCCCGTGCCTCGGACCTCGATCGACCTCGATCCGTCGATGAGCATCGCGCGCGACGCAACGAACATCGGCTTCGCTTCGGCCCGATGTCTGGTCGACCGGAGAAAACGCCGATCCAAGATCGACCCGAGTATCGACCCCTCGCGTGGCCCGTCGATCGATGTTGGAGCGATTCGGTGTCCCAAAAGCTTCGTCCGTCGAGGATGTTTGCCACCCAAAGTAAAGGGAATTCCTTGACTCGAGGCTCCAGACACAAAGAGATCTCTTTTGAAGAGTCTCGGACTTCCTGGGTATGCAAGTGATTAGTTAATTGATGCACCTTGAGAAATTTGGAGGTCGCCCTTCAAATGGCACAGCTGGGTCTTTTGGGTTGCGGAGGCTGCTTTTGACTGGTTTTTGCCTCCCTCATACAAAGGATTAGAGCAAAGACATGAAGCTCTCAGGACAGAAAACAGATCCAGTAAATGCAACGTAAAACCGTAAAAAAAAAGTAAATACAGCTCCTGCCACCAACGAGGCATTTCCCACTTGCTTACATGGCTGTGGGGTCAAGACCAGGATACCTTTGTTGACCTCCCTGGAAGGTCAAGCTACATGGTCTTGGGGCTCCGCTCCAGGTTTTGACCCAGGTAGAGTATGACTGCAACAGAATATGCAGTATTGTCCTCTGGACTATTTTGGTAAGTTATGTAAAGCTGAATTTTGTAAATATGGATGCTGACTATTATTATGCCTCTCAAACCCAGATGTTGGAGCGCAATATGAATCAAATATGATCTTGATTTTTTCTGGACATTTCGGTCTTTATAATTAAGGATGACCTGCTAATATTAAACATTATCTGAGAAAGTGATAGGACCTTCCAGAATCAGATGTGGATGTCATCCAAACGTATCCAATACCCACCAAACGGCCCCAGAAGTGCGCAGCTTTGTGAGCCTTTTGTTCCGCAAATCCACCGCTCGGGCAGGACGCCAAGGAGAAGGTGTCTTTTTATCAGGAGCAGGCGGTGGGCATCGGGGCGAGTGGATCGACTGGTTTGACAGTGAGAACAGACCGCACTGCAGGAGGAAGGCTCTTCCTTGCAGGAGGAAGCCAACCAAGCAACCAACCAAACAACCAAGGAAGCAAGCAACCAAGTAACCAAGCAAGTAACGAAGCAGGCAACCAAGCAATCCACGCAAGACCTGCGAGGCTGTAGTGGCTGTGGACTTTGTTTTTTGTTGTTTAGGTTAGGTCATTATCCATATGACATCACTGGACACAACTTATTACAAATTATTTGATCCCTCTGTTTTGGCAATGACTGGTGTTAGTGTTCGAATTGCGTGACACAGCAAACAAGCATTGAAATCTGGTTGGGACTGATTGGAGGTCACGAAGGACAATGCATTACTCAAACATACCCAAACCCCAGTCCAAACCCCTTTTGTTCACCATCCAAACCCTTGGCTTTCCTGCCCCACCAAGCGGCGCTGTGCGCCACGCATTTGTAACCATTTATTTCAAGTGTTTTGACGTAATTCTATTGTTGGCCATGGGCTGTCATTTGACGTAAGGAACGCCTTCCTTTTGGACGTGGACCGATCCCAGTTCAGGTCCGCCTGAACTCAGGACTGGAAGGCGGACCCTTACACGCATCATCCGGCTGAACCCGAGGAGAGGGACCTAGAAGATGGCTGGCGATGTGGCCGATTGATGTGGATATATTGGTCTCTTATTTCATTCAGAGAGGGTCTACGGTCTAAGAATTGCAACGCGTAGTGCGCAGAGAGATGAAACATGATGAAACAGTAGCCCTGAAAACTGGGTACGTGACGTCATGTCCATCTCCTTGGGAAGCACCTTGCTATCAGCTGCGCTTCCGATTTGCCCGGAAGAGCTTGTGGCACAAGGTTGCACATGGTGCATGACCTTTGAAGGGCGCCCTATGAATACACCCAGATTTGGCATCATCCGAAAACAGGGCATGAGACACATCCAGCGGTCAAATGCAGGGACATATACCATGCCAGTCCAATGGAGTGTCCTGTTCCCAATCAAAGAGCCGCCCGCTCTCCGCTTTCGCTTCACCGCTCCAGGAGCGGCTCCGGCACCACCCGCGCTACGGCGACGCGGCGCTCGCGGCGCCCGCGCTGAACGGGAAGCTCTTCTTCGGAGGGACGGAGACCGCGCGGCGGCACGGAGGCGCCGCCCGTGGCCGAGCGCCGAACACGCCGAGCGCCGAACGCGAGGGATGGAGAAATCGGAGATCGAGATGGCCGTCGCTTGCTTCAGGGGTGGACATCGAGATGTCGCATTGTACTGTGATGTATGCCAGTACTGCTTTTTACGCCTGTAGCAGTTGATCCCTCAAGTTCCCTGTGACCTTGATTCATCATCAACTAGGGCCTGGGACACATGAAGCTTCGTTCTCGTTTGGCAAAAGGGCTTCATTGAAGATAGATTTATTGCTTCACATGTCTTCGCTTTCCAGGGCTTTCGGAGCATGCTAGGTCCTGACTCTACTGCAGAGTCTGGAAACGTGAGGGAAATCAGACATGCTTGCTTGAATGTTTATTGACATGTCCATACTGTTTGGGAGGAGAGACTTGAAAGGGAACAGGTGGAGGGGATGCTATCCAAAGATTGTGGAGCCCATTGACCTCTAAATGCTCCCCGGATAGAACAGACAATCCTTTTCGAACATTCTTTTATATAGGTGATTTGTATTGATTTGTTGTGTTTGTTTGAAGACCTCATTACACCATCTAGAATCTAGTTATGTATATATAAATATATCTATACTTATACTCTACTTTTTGTGAGTCTTTCTGCAGAAGTGGAGACGCACACAACTCTTTAAGCATGGTGTCGATGGTTTAGGGAGCAGATGGGAGCAGACATGGGACTTTTTAGTGGGAGATGACCCGGATTACCCTCTGAATCCCTCTGACCTCTGACGAACGAACACATCCACATGGAAAGAGCCGGTTGCCAACCGTGTCGTTTTTTTCAGGGGTGAACATGGGTGAACTCCGTGGAATGCTGTGATGATATGTGATGGTGAGATGCAGGTGGTTTTTCCTTGATCTCTCCAGTACTCTTGGGCGTTCGATTTCACAGCGTGGTTTTCCCCTGGAGGCTTTCTGGCGGGTGCAATTGCTAGTGGCTTGGAGGTGGCCAGTCGAGTGCTGGCAACACTGCCTGAACAGACCAAGTCTGTGACGCTCTGAAGGTTCTGTTGTTTTTTCCCGCCGCTTGGTGGCCCAGGCCAAGGTAGGACTGTAGGACTTCGGGGTTCTTTTTGACAAGGTGGCCAACCAATTCGGAAGGTCCAATCGGGCTGAAGCGTAGAAGGTAGAGGCTTCAGCCCGAATCATCCTGATCAGTGCTTTTCCGCGCAGAGATTCCAAGGATAAACTCAAGTCACTGCGGAGTTGATGCAAGTTTGACGCGCTCACACCAGTGCTCGGCTTCCCTGAATGGGGCTGAACTGCTTGGTACGAGCTTTTCCGCGGCAAGCAAAAGGCAAGGGCAGCAGCATTGCTGTGTAGAGTTATAAGTCTTAGTAGGTGAGAAGCCAGACACGCGGATGTGTCCTGAGGAGACTTGAAATGTGGTGTTGTGTCCTGAGAATCTCCAGTAAACCTTCAAGGGATAGCAACAAGGAGCATTCTTTTTGTTGGGAGATGCATTCTGACTCACCAAGATGGAATGGGAAACCGTCCTCTTCCAAGCCAGGTTCAAGTTCCATATTGGTGAAGTGAAACAGAACGAGGAGGAATGAAATCTTCAGGCTTTGCCAGGGTCATACTTCCCGTTCGAACGGATGTGCTACTTGTAGGATGTTCGAAAGGACTTTTCTCGATGCTTTTTCTCAATCTTCCGAGGGGCCTCAGTTGACGGAAAAATTGCACAAGATAGACGGTCACCGGTGCCGCGACCGGTCATCCAGATCAGAAGCGATTCCTTCGGTTCCGAGGCAGGTCGTGCTGGCCGCACCAGACCGGGGAAATGCTTCAGGCTCTACACCCTGGAGGCTCCGTGCGTGTTCCACGCACGCACGCGTGCCAAAACACGGATGTGAGGGAACGAAACGCAGCTGCGACAAGGTCCGACGAGAGACGAAGGAGCGTCATGAAACAGATTGGGTGAGTTCATGGGATGAACATGGAGGTGCTTGCCAACAGTTTCCCTTGTTTCGAAATGTAATGCGCTTTATGCGATGAAGCCAAGTGTGTTCCACTTGAAAGTTTGTTGGACGTGCGGTCCAGGGAGAGGTCGTTTTGGGGTTTCAAGGAAAGAGGCCGCCAAAGCAAGAACATCCACACTTCCAGACACTTCCAGACACTTCCAGACTTCCCAAAGACCCCCAGACTTACATCTATAGATCTGTGGTTGCATTGGATGGATTCTTGCTACCACTTGCTACCACCCCGCTGATGCCCCAGACCTGACGACTCACGAGACGACGTGGCAGACCTTCGAGAAAGAGTTGCCAGAGAGCACCTATCCTGAGATCATCCGAAGCAACCTTAGCTCAGTGGCCGCGTGCTCAGAGAGGGTGGGTTTCCAACAGAAAACAGGCGGAAAGAGCTTGGGATCTGTAGGTCTTCAGGATGCTTGGAAGCTTACCTCCAAGGGAGCCTCAACAAAATCATGTGTCGAGAAACAGTTTCAAGAGCCTACTAGAGTGCCTACTAGATTCTTTCTTTTGTCTTTTGGTTTTCTGGTGAGTTGTTGGGAAAGCAAGTCTGCGGAGTTAGGTTTCGACTTTTACAATATGTTTAAACATGTTTTAACTTGACACCATTCAACACCCCGCGTATCTCCACCAAGGCCGGGCATGAATGAACAACCCTCACCGTGGCCTCCCCTTTCCAAGAAGGTGCGATCCCAGTCCCTATATCGGACCAAGTTGTTTTGGTGTTGAATCCGACACCGATGTGGTCCTTCGACCTCCTTCCGTCCTTCCAATCTTCGACACCGCACGTGTCGGTCGTTTCCTCGATCCGATTTTGGACAAACCCACTGAGTTGCAGGTGCCGGCTTCTTGCGAACCCAAATTGGCCCAGGTGATTTCCTTGAAGAAACTCGGGGTGGATGACATCGTCCACTTTGATTTCATGGAACCGCCTGGAGACCTAGAAATGGTCCGAAAACCGGAAAAAGACGGACGCATGTGTGTGGACAACATGTGCGTAGTATTTGGAGTACCTGAGGAGGATTCTCAACAGGTACGGTCCGATGTGCCTACTCCAGTCAGACATGCATAAGTACATGCATATACTATAAGCTTTTGCCTATGCAGGATTAAATTTTTGGAAGACTCACTATACAGAAGGAAAAGGCAGAAGGGGCATTTGAAGCAGCTTCCTTGAAGCCCTGAAAAGTGGCTTCCACAGCCTGTGTAAGCTGGAGAACCATTGCCATCGGCATGTCTTCTTCCGGCCCAGATTTTGTTTTGCGATGCATGTTGTCAACATTCAGAAAGATGGTGTGAGCTGCGATTTAGTACCCGATTTCCCCTGCAAAGACTATTTTGTTGGTGCTTACGCTTGGACAAACCAGCCTTCTGAACCTGGCGCTAGTTTGCCGATCATCCTTTTCCATGATGATCTTACCACTGATGCTGTCCTTCGAGTATGTTCATCTCGTAGCTCAGGCCATCTCCCGAGTCGATGATGAGGGCCTTAGAGATGCTTGGGCTCCCGATCGCCCCAGAGTCGTGGTCTAGGTTTTGCTGTCACGGCCTGGCATGGTGTGTTTGAGAGTCTTGTCCCCCAAAGATCCTAAAAGCAACAGTAGAACCAGAGAACAACACCCCTTTCAAAGCACGGTGCAGCACAAAAGCTGAAAGCGTCGGCATATCCCGGTGAAGGAGTTGGGTGGTAAAGCATATAGTGTGGGGAAGTAAAATAGAGACATGACACATGATGAGGGTCTACCCAGGTCCTTTCTTCAAGGGAGTCGGGCCATTGGACTAACGACCCAAGTCATTTTTTCCCCGATACCAAGCTGTGAAGTACCAACGAAGTACAGAAGCCTCCCATTTGGATTAGATGGATCAGGTCTTAGGTTCTACTTCAGATCAGCTGGCAACAAGACCTGTGAACACCTGTGCAGACCTTGCAATGATACAGTTCCTGCTTAGAATTGTATCATTACCAGGACCATCCTGTTTGGGTCACCAATGGACTACCCTCCACTACTAGGGGATCTCCTGCTAGGTACATTGGATGAGCGCCAACCCAATAGCGATGGCCTCCAACCCAATAAGGAGAGCTATGGAGAATCCTGGAAACGGAACTGTTTTGCTGCGTTGCTTTCTTTCCCAATAGCATTCCGCTGAGACTGCAAAATGGGTGAAGTGGGGTTTCTCTTTCCATGTCCAGAGGCTCTACTTCCTTGGGGCCATTGATGAGGAGGGCGATCTCACTGACATAGGTGCAATGCATCGGTTGAAACTGTGGACGATCCCGTTAGCAGCCACACTAAGTGGCTTTGTGGATCTTTCCACTGACAAGGTTGGTGACCATGAGAGTTCTAGGTGGATCTGTTTCCTACTGGTTTTGCTTTGGGTGTTCTATAGAGGGTAAATCCCCTTTCTGGGGCTCAGAGACTCAGATCCTACCGCTGCTGGAATCACTCTAGATCCAATGGGAAGAGGAAGCAGGATGGGGAGTTCAACGAGCATGACCAACACATTCGAGTGTGTATTAAAATGGGGAGACTCCTCAAAGAAATCCCGGGAAGAAGGTAGAACTAGATCCAAACCCCAGGGGATTTCCCTCTTGAAATACAAACAACAAACCCATCAATGGACATGAGGCCCAGGCTTCGTGCACAATTGTGTTCTCACTGAGAGGACAAATGATGACAGGCACAGCCCTTTTCTTATAACAAATGATGCATCAGTTACAGAACCAGGTGGTGATATGTGGTGATTGGCATTGGGGTGCCTCCCACCAGCGCCTCTTCAACACGAGGTCATGACGTTCCATCGTGTCAAACACGCGGTCCGATTGGGCCACGTTCAGACGTTCAGGGAGCAAGATGGCCGACTTCCCGGTGGATCCACATTTGAGTCGGGCCGGCTCAGGGGTCGGCCAGAAGCGGAAACGAACGTCACAAGAAGCGGGCAAAAGCACGGTGGTGGCTTTAGAAGCGTTCGTAGGTTGGAGGCCCATCGCGGAAACGAACGTAACAAGACGGCTTTGGAGGTGATGGCTCCATTCGACCCCTACTGTGGAGGTTGTGAAGACGGTGGCCCACAAAATAAACGATGATGTCTGCCTAGGTGGGCATGCCGGCATTCGGGACTGCCTTATGTGTTTGTTTAGTTTTGGGAGTCTTGAGACACGGCACCAGCATCAATGAATCAACCACAAAAGTATAGCCATCCTGGAATTGGAGTCCATGATCACCCTGTCATTGCACCGCCCCATTATTGCTTCTATTTGTTTCGCTTTGGGCAACCACAAACCTTGCCCCTCCTGTCGTTTGTAAGCGGTGAGGGTACCACCAGTAGATCAATCAACTACCAACTTCCGTTCAATTTGTTCATGAAACCACTTGAAGTGATAGCTGATAGCATCTATCAGATCATTGAATGCGGCCTCACCTCACTTCCTCAGCGACTCACCGAAACGCGTCCCCGAAACGACCTCCGACACCGAGGCCGCAGCATCATCGCCAGCGCTCGGCACAGCTGTTTGGAGGAGGCCGAGAGCGATCGAAGCGGATCCGGGCGGATCCTGGGCCGTACATGGGCCGTAGCAACTGTTTTTGTTTTGGTGGGCGAAGAACCGAACACGTGAAGAAACACAGATGTGAGTGAGTGAGTTTGAGGCATTGTTTCTTGTTTCGTTGTCACATATGGGCATAAAAGAGGGCTCTGGCGATGTAGACTGACCAAGAATCTTCCAGTGAAGTGGAAAAGTGTTGCACGGCCTGCAGTCATGTTGGAGGATTTGATGGGATTTTACTTTTCGACCAATCCGCTGATATCTTAGTCGTGGAGTCCCAGCTGACTGCCAGGTCATCCAGATCATCGCTATGCTCAGTGTGCCTCCACCCTTCAGCCGTCCGAGATATGCGCAGAAGGCCCCTGATTCTCGTAGCTTCTTGGGCTCCTGGTCCTGTCCAGGTGGCCCCCAAGAAGAGACCTAGTGTGTTGGACCCCATCCTACAGCCAGATGTTTGACTTCGGTTTTGGTCAAGAGGACCTTATGTTTTGGAACCCGGACAGGAACCCCCCAGATGTTCGGGGCGTTTGATGTTTGTTGCGTTTGGTGTTGGGTGGTGTTGTCCACGTTGCCCAGTTGCAAGCTCAGTTCCGCCTCAGGCAGCTGATAAGGCGCACAAGCACTTCGCGTCCGGCTATGGAGATCACCTCTCCCTGCCCCTGAGCTGCCGGCGGTGCACAGGGGCCAAGCGTTGTGGGGAAAGGGGTTTTATGGGGCGAGGTGGAGAAAGGTACTGGTCCAATACTACAGAAAGCCCACATAGGTTTGTCGAAAGCCATGAATTCCTGTGAGACACGTCTTGTACAGTCAAGTACGTCTTGTACCAGTCATACTGTGAGACAACATTGGTATGGCCGTTATACCGTTTGACCTGTGGAGCATCTGAGGGTTGGGTTCGAGAACTCTGTCGCCCGTATCACCCCATCTGATGGAGCACTTGCCAGACGCTCTCCTGGTGGGCCACGGTGGGCCCCCCGCTTCAAAGACTGCCACAAGCGAAAGCAGTGATACACCGAAACACACCAATTGCAAACTCCACCAGATCACGCTTTTCAAAAACAGACACACGGGTCTTTGGAGAATTCGATGCAGACCAGTTACTTGGATTTAAATCATTAACCCCCCCTGTGAAGGACTAAGTCTCTAAGCAATTTGGAGCTTTTTTGGACTCCAGTTGCTGACATACCAGGTATATTTTTATATAATTAAGGAAAAAATCAGAACCAGAACATCAGCGGAATGCACTGAGTCCGAGGCTGAACGCATATCGAGCATACGTGGACTGCGGATCCAAAGCCGAGTTCTGCCGGGACCCGGTGCTTTTTTTGTTCAATCGTGTTTTTCTTGCCGAGCAAAGAGTGATGAAGATAACATCCTGTTGTCGTGGGACCATCCGGGATACTTCAATGATCAAGAGATGCCGACAGGACTCAGAGGATTCACCCTGTAATTCTTTTTTCTCTTGTTTTTCTGCACCGTACAGACTGCAAGAATCGCTTCTTCCTCGACAGCACCGTTTTTTTTTTCGGATCATTCTTGTTTCAACGGATAGCGAGTCGGTCAGACCGTCTCGACATCCGTTCAAACAAGGAACAGTTGTTCGTGCCACTCTCAGGAGCACTTTCTCTCTGAGCGGAATATGAGGCAGGCCGAGAATGTGGGGAACCCGAGAATGAAGAAGAATAGACTATGAAGGCCCTGGATCCGGCTGGAGTCGAACATGTCTCGTCACGCCGCAGCGGTGAAGAACTCGGATCACCTCGCGACGTGACACTTCGAACGGCAGGGTGTTCTGGATTCGCCACTGTCAACAGAGGACTGGTCAGTTTAATCAGCTTGTACCGTGTACCCGATATATTTAGATAATATAGATGGATATAGATAGATAGATGGATGGATGGATAGATAGATGGATGGATAGATAGATAGATCATGATAGATCATGATAGATCGATAGATGATCGATAGATGATAGATAGACATCAACGATATTAGCAGTAGTTTTCCAAGAACACTACACAGCCCGGATGGTGGTAATCCAGACCAGGTCAAAAACCAATCCCCTGGTGAAGGGGCTGTTTTTGTGGCGGTGACGCAGGATCCCATAGACCTTTGGCAGAGGAGGAGGAATGTTTTTCAGCAGCATCGCCACTCCTGATAGCACATTGCTGTGGGTCAAAGCCCTCAAGCTACTTCAGGGTCCTAATAGCAATGACCTCCAACCTACAAGCAATGGCCTCCAACCTAATAGCGATGGCCTCCAACCTAATAGCGATGGCCTCCAAGCTAGTATAGTGATGGCCGCCAACCTACAAGCAATGGCATCCAACCTAATAACGATGGCCTCCAAGCTAATAGCGATGGCCTCCAAGCTAATAGCAATGGCCTCCAAGCTAATAGCGATGGCCTCCAAGCTAATAGTGATGGCCTCCAAGCTAATAGCGATGCCCTGCAACCTAATAGTGATGGTCTCCAACCTAGTGTAGCAATGGCCTCCAAGCTAATAGCGATGGCCTCCAAGCTAATAGCAATGGCCTCCAAGCTAATAGCGATGGCCTCCAAGCTAATAACGATGGCCTCCAACCTAATAGCGATGGTTTGCAACCTAGTATAGCAATGGCCTCCAAGCTAATAGCGAAGGCCTCCAAGCTAATAGCGAAGGCCTCCAAGCTAATAGTGATGGCCTCCAACCTAGTAACTTGAGGGTCCTGTCGTCGCCTTTTCTCAACCTCATTGTAATGGAAGTGCCTTTCCTCTTCCTTCCCCCCTCGCTCCACCGCATCGAACCTCAGGTCCGGAAGCAGTTGGCCAGCCTGGCTCGGAAGAGTTCGCACCTGGAGAGCCTCGAAAACGGCCACGAGAAGATGTGCACCATGACATGTCCTTGAGGGCAGGTGAGAAGAATCCGGATGTGGGTCGGTTCCCCAGAGAGAGTGCCAACCCCGTCCATGAACCGACGGACCAGGTGTAAACCCTACCTTAAGGAAGTATGTTGACTCTTCAACCCCAAAAAATCAGGATGTATGTGGAGTGTCAGAGGATGTTGAGAAACTATGGTTCGTTTGGCACGAAACCAGTTTGGATCGCTTCCAAGAATGAGAGGCAGAGTCAGTAGCAGGGCCGAGAAGACCTTTGCCAGGTCAGACCTGGCCTGGGGGCACGCCCGCGATGTTGGAGTGATGGTCGATGTTTGTTCCTTGTGACATTTTGCGGCCTTATAGTGGTGTGCCTTCCTGACAATGGTGGACGCCTGAGAATGAGCCGAAATGGTCAGCAACACGATGCACTTTTCAGGAGAAGATAGTACAGACCTTGAAGGCATATTATACGATCCCTACAGGTCAAAGACCTCATTTTACTGGAGTTGATCGATCATACAAAGCACTACTCAATGAGGTAAAGGACCAGGTTTTACTGCTTTGTTCGACCTCGGGAATCGTCTACTGTACCTTGGCGACCGTATGGCACAACCTTGGTACTGACAGAGCACCAAGTTATCATATCAAGTCCCACGTTGCCATGCCATGTCAACCAGGTCCCTTGGCCATCCAGGGCCATCCAGGGCGCCATCCTTCGCCAGGCTGACCACCAGCATTCGGAAAGCCTTCGTGGAAGGCTTCTTCATGCAATGCCGCAGCCCTGGTAAACACGCCGGCGATCTCCAACAGAGCAAACCCTCAAAACCGTTTCACAGATCCAAATCGCTGGTTGCAGCTGAAGAGAAATCGCCGAACCACCACTGTAATCACTGCAATGTAATGCAGGGCTTGAGATTAGATGCATCAACAAGATTCATATTATATATAACATTATAAAACTACAAAATCAGATAAAACATTGATGCACCTGTTTTTGTTCGAGGTCAATCAAAGAAAAAACTCGTCTTCAAGGTCATTATTACTTTCGGTCAATCCAGTCGCTTTTGCGAATCACTTTGAAGAACCCCTCCAAACCTTTGAGGTTACTGGGAAGATCTGAAGGGATCAGATCCATTATTCTGCTTTTTTGTTGATACAATATGATACAATCCATCCTACCATACAATCCATTTGTCTTGGCTTTGCTTAGACATGCTCGGACTCAACCTCAGGTGCACACCTGGACGAGAGTGGGAAACACTACCTCACGGTCCAGGATCAGCAGATGGTGGCCATCCATCCATCCTCGTCCCTGGGCGTTGGAACAATCAGTGCAGTTTGGCCATTGCGAAGCGTTGTGACACATTTTCGGAGAGATGCGAATGATGCGAAATGGTGTGAGCGCCGTGTTGAATGTGTGCCTGAACAGTCGCCTGAACAATGACCTTTTGGTATCTTTTAGGTGGTGGGAGAGTCACTTTGGAACACAAGTTTTAGTCTTGGTTCACTTTGGAACACAGGGTTTTAGTTCACTTTGGAACACAAAAGATGTGTCACTTTGGAACACAAAACAACCCAAAACCATGGACGGGTTAATAAAAAGCGAGATCACTTTGGAACACAACACACCTGTTTTTTTTGGTCACTTTAGAACACACACACACAGACACGGATGGGGAGGGTTTAAAGATGAAGGATGGGGTGGGGTGGGGGGATGTTAATAACGTCCCTCTGGATATTCATCTACATGATGATCTCTTTCTGCTAATTGCTTCCACAGTACCGTGTAACACAAATGCTCTGCATCCTTCATTCATTTGCTAGTGGTTACGGTGGCCTCCAATCGATGGCCTCCATAGTAGTAGCGATGGCTTCCAACCTACTAGCGATGACACGCGTTCCGAAGCGACTACCTCACCCTTTTGAGGTCAACGGTTCGCATGGGGAGAGCCTTCTTGGAGAAGGGGGGACCGGACCAGTTCTATGTCGTAAGAGATCTCATATGGGTGTGTATTGAAATAGGGGAACCCCAACTACCGGTTTGGTCTTTGTTCTTCTTCCAGAGGGGGTCGAACTTGGGAACACCTCAAGATGAAACATGCTCTAACATGTCCTGCTGTCGTGCTCAGTGCTTTTGCCAATGTGGATTAGAGCTTCGTGAGGTTCTGGGAATAGATCTGGGCGTGACAGCTCAACTCCACTGGGCGCCAAGTGCTCACAGGCATTCACCTTGTAGACTCTTGGATTCCATTAATTAATCAACCCCTCATGATCCCCATGTGAACGATATGAAGAGGTCTTATCCTCCCAATTGGGAGATTCAATCAAGAGATCTACATAATTACATGCACTAATGGCTACTCAGCCAACTTCTCCAACTTCGTCCACTTGGACTCTCCCACCCAAGCACCCCCTACCCCCTTGGACTCTCCCCACGTCGCTCCCTCTACCGAGACGGGGCGGAGTGGGCGGGTGCGACGGAGGTTCCTGCAGCACAAGGCGGAGCGGGCCTGAAGACCCAGCACCCAGCGCGTGTCGACCGCGGCCCACCCGCCTCCTTCGTAGACGGAACGTTCGTTCCGGGGGGGGGGGCGCGCTGGTGAAGGCGAATGCGGCAGGTCCTGAGTGGTGGGACCTCAGTAACTGAATTGAAAGGTGGGACCTCAGTGGTATCACACTCGGTTTTGGCCCACACACGCGCCCGAAGACGCCGCCCGAAGACGCCTGCTCAACATGATGTTCTCATGATGACCATCACACTACGGTGGTGTGGTGTGAAGTTCAGCGTGGTTTTGTTGACGCGTTCGTGAATGTGCTTGCATGCCACTGACCTTTTCAGCTTGCGCTGTCCAAAGTCGAATCAACATGAATTAAACACATCAAGCCACCGAAGAGTCGTATGAAACTCACGCCCTGCTCTCATGCAATCTCAGACTTCTGAGCTATTTTGGATGATTATTTTGGCTCAAAGATGCTCAAAGGCATTGATTTGGTTCGTGTGCTGTATGATTAGGCCGCATAACATGACCTGCATCTTCTTTCAGAAGTTGGTGCGGCAACAAATCCTGGATTCTCTCCAAGTCTATGCTCGAAGAACCATGTTGTTGTTGGATGAATTGATGAACATGCCTTGGATGCGTCAGGACGTCTTCCATCCTCCAGACCTGCCACAGTGGATTGTGGTGCTGAGCCCGGTGCCAATGCACTTCGACGCAGAGCTTGGAGAGTTGCTCAAGATCTTCGGGGTCCAGCAAATGGACAGGGTCTCCTTTGAGGGGATCAACGTGCCCGTGTGGTCAATTGAGACTGCAATGGACCTCGTATCTCTCAGAAGCTACGGGCTCCAACTCACCCTGCTTGAGGCGGGTCCAGTCACTGGATCAGGTCCCCGCACCGATCTTGTTCAGCCGGGTCCCACCTTTCCCGAACAAGTTGAAGCAAGGGCGTAGTGGTCGTGGTCGTCGTGGTCGTGTATATAACTTATATAACTATATAGTTAGCTATAGTTGGCTACAGTGAACAGTGGCTGTAGCTGAATATAGTGACATGCTGCACATCTGCTGATATTGTACAGTGAGTGATGGGTATGTGTTTCATTCTCTGAAAGCACTAAGAAAGGCGACAGTGTTTGTAACCCTCCGCTCAAAAGTTCAAGTGTCACACGACGTGAACTCCGGTAGCTTCCATTTTTTCGTGCGTCACTTCCAACGGTCTTTGCAGTACGACCTGGCGACGAAAAAGCGAGTGGAGTCTGCAACCTGCACGTCGAAGCACCGAACACAAGGGTACCGAAAAGTACCGAAAAGAACCAAAGATCGTCTCTTCGACTTATGCCATTCATCCGCATTCTTCGTTCAAGTGACGAACCTTGCGTTGGTCTTCGGGTCACAGGTCGACTTCGCTTGAGGGGTGGGGCATGGTGGGGCTGGGGCGGCCACTTTGGGCAAAATAAAGCAAACAGTCAACATGGGTTGCTGTTTCTTTTTGGGCATGGACAACACCTGATTTCAATTATATGATACAGCGTTCAGCCATGGTTCCGTATTTGTCTCGCATCCTTTCACGTCTTTCTTCACGCCTCCGCGGAATCCAGTGAAACCGTGAAAGCAAATGATGTTTGGTGCAGTCTAAGTATATATATATATATAGCTAAACTTGATTTGAAGTATATGTCCAGGAGGGGATGGGATGGGTGTTGTGTTGGGCTGCTGCTTGCACATCGAACCATGCCATTCTCATAGTGAAACGTGTGTGCGACACTCCATCAACACCGGGCATTTCAGCTTAAGATAGCTTAAGCTAGTGATGAGGGATCCAGACTTTCCTGGACGCGAAGTCTGCCTGTTTGCTCGTAGATATGCCATATACGGCGATGTAACTTGGGTTTGTTTGTTGTAAGAGGCAGACGTCAGTCACGGGGAGTCAACAGCTGAATGGTGTGTTCCAAGCTGAAGGCAAGATCCAACAGCTGAATCCAAGAGGACCTGAAGGTGCCGATGTTTATGTTTGTTAGTGTGAAATCGTCGGACGCACAGGTCCTTTACCATGAGACGGTCGTCACAGATAGGCCGGACGCCGGCGCATTGGTTGAAAAACCAAGTCAGTTGGAGTGTTGACTCCTCTGAATCCAGAGGTGGACCCAAAAATTGGGGAACAGATTCATCTCAGCTAGGTGTGACAGTCATCCCGTGTGTGTGTTGGGATGTGGTGTTGACCGATGTGGATCATGACAGCCTATGACAGCCTTACGTTTATTCCAAAAAATGCACTCAGACTCACGTTCCATCGAAGTGGATGGCACCCCCTGTTTGTAAAGGAAAGTTGTTTTCCAAGGGACTCCATGTTAGTGAGTCGGAGCGTAGGGCTTATTATATAGGTCCTTATTTGGAGGAGTGCTGGGACGGTATACCTTGGCCCAGCTCTCCAACCATTGCGATACTCACCCAATACTTCAAGCCACTCTGGTATAGTCCTGTTGCATTCATTCGATCATCATCGGTACATAATTGATGCTTTGTCATCGCAGATTCTTTGGATTGCTTAAGATGACTGTTTCGTTGTTGCATAATGTTCATTCATTTGCAATCGATTTGGGGCAAGCTACCGCATAAATACATCCTTCGCAAGGCGTTTGAGACCGGAGACCCCTTTTTGGATACACTTGACTGGCCATGCTCTCATCAGCGACCATGATTTCTGAATTCACTTTAAGGTTCACAGGCAACTTGTTCAGGACTTGCACAACCCTCAGGGTAGCCAGAATCTCTTGCTACCAAGACATGCTAAGCTGGTGAGTGCTACGCGGAAGGTCCATTTGAGGTCGATTTGTCCACCTAGGTTCACTGAGTTCAAACTAGAAGGGTCTAGTGGTCCATGCAAGGTGCTACATGCGGAATGCTACCGCCATTCCCCCAGAGATGTTGATTGAGGCGCTGGCCACTAAACGATGAACAGTGCAAAAACGACCTGGACACTTTCAGAGCATTGACATGTGGTTCGCAAATCAAATGGTGCACAGCTGGGTCTTTTGGTCGACAGATTTCATGACATGGACGATCTTTGGACATAGTATTGGGACATTTTTGGACCATTTTGGATGTTCTTTTGTATGGATTTTGGATGGTTTGGATGGACCACACAGACATGAGACATGGATCTGTTTGGCCACGTCCGCCATGAAGGTGGCCACGAAGTTCTATCATCCCGATAGGCCCGGTGCTGGATGTCGGGTGTCGGGTCGGCGGTGGATAGTGGTGGGTTAGGGTCGTTCCGAGCTCGGAACTCGAGTCATTTTGGGGTCAGGGATGAAAGAGGTCAGCCACTTTAATCAGATTTAAGGTGAAAGTAGGGATATGGGATGAGATACGTCAGCCACTTTGATGAGATTTGGTGGAAGTGGCGTTGATTGAGCCGCGCCGTAAGTACTCCCTTTGGTCTTCTTGTTTGTCATTGTCACGTCCAGCCCACCGGCACGACCAGGTGTAAACTCACGGCGCATGCGAAGAAGATGCTCCGGCGTGCCCTCCCACGCGCCAAGGCAGGGCAAGGGGGTACTGCAGAAGACTGGAGCAATTCATACCTGTTGACCCTCTAGCACCCCGCTTATGTGGAAGGGCTTTGAGGGCGGACCGTCGGACAGTTCGCGTTCGTGAGTGTGGAAGACTGGAGCAAGTGATCACAGCTATGGGCCCGGGAGCACTCGCGACATGGGCTTTCAGCCTTGGACCTCCTGTAACTCTGCCTGGCTGGTGCTTAGTGGAATGAGGGCTGATTTTGCGCAGGTTTGTTTCCAGCACATCGACCATAGAGATGAGAGATCCAAAACGATCAGAACTTCTTGAGATGGAGTTCGGGGAATGTTCAGGGTGGGTTGAAGGGTTAAACCAATTCTTTGCGATTTCGCACACATTTCACGTCCTAATGTCACACTGCTGCTAGGTGAAT